ACCCAGAGATTCTACTTTTACATATCCATCTGTGATACAGCAATATTATTACACTCCACAAGAAGAAGAAGAAGAAAAATAGAGAATTTTTTTTTGTTGATGCATTGTTTATAAGTGCAAAATTCAAATTATGGTCAATAAGAGGGGGCAGTTAAGTAAGTTTTGGTACATTCACATTATGAGATGTTATATAGCCTTCAGAAAGAATAAAGTAGGTGTGCATGGAGAGATGCTTTATATATTGTTGAGTAAAACTATCAAATTTCTGAAGAAAAATATATGTGGTTGAGATGACCCTAATTGCTTATATCTGGGTGGAAATTCACAAATACATACACACACATACCTATATATGTATATTATGTGCATATTGGAAAGCACTACAATATAAATCGAACTATTATCGAGGATTAACTTTGAGTCCTGCAGTGGAAACAGGATGGAGAGACAGGAGTAGGACGTTTAGTTACTGCTTTATCCACCTCAGCCTTTTTCTGTCCCTCTCCCTGTCCCTTCTCTCTCCCCCTCTCTCCTTTCCTTCCATTACAAAGAGTATGCATTTATTCCACAATAATGAAACAAAATTAAGTAAAGTAAACCCAATATTCACTCAGCCATCTCTCACGCCATTGCTCATTAAAGGTGTAAATTTGTTATATAAATTTCCTTAAGCTTCCATGCATACATTTAAGGAGGGGTAAGGAGAATTGGAATTCAAATGGATGGACCAAGTTTCTGTGTTGTATTAAGGTTTCACATATTGACACAATTAAATTCTCAACAACTCATTATGGTGATATCAGGGTGATATTCAAAACACCTGATGACTTCTATGACACAGGCACTAACTATCTAGGAAGGATCCAGCCACAGTACTAGAGCAGCATCTAAAAGCCACCCTGCTTCTAGATGATGAGGTGTTCAGGAGGAACCTTGGGGAAGGGTTGGGACTCCCAGGCAGCAGGAGGGCACCAGAGGCTCAGGGCAGCAAGCTCCTTATCAACTGGTGCTGAAGACTTTCAACACCTAACAAAGGGTCCTCCACACCAACAGATACCAGCTGAATGTCGGCCCTGATCAGTATAACACTCCTGAGACCTGGGGCCCTGTTATGAATTCATTTTCCAAAAAAATTTACCTTGAAGTCCTAAATCCTGGTATCTCTAAATGTGACCTTGTTTATATAGAGTCTTTGAAGATGTTATCAGTTAACATAAGGTCATACTGGAGTAGGATGGGTCCTGATTCAATCTGAGTGGTGTTCTGTAAAAGAGACACAGAGACACAGAGGGAAGATGGCCATGGAAACAGGAAGTTTTGCTGCAGCTGCAAGCCAAGGAATGCCTGGGGCCACCAGCAGCTGAGACAGAAAAGAAAGTCATCCTCTAGATCCTTTGGAGAGAACATGGCCTATGTGATTTGGATGTCCAGTCTCCAAAACTGTGAGACAATCATTTTCCCTTCTTATAAGTCACCCAGTTTGTGGTGTTTTGTTACATCAACCCTAGGAAACAAAACAAACCTCAGGCAGCTGTTATTTTGTAATGAAACTTTCTCTCTCTGGTTGGCAGACTGTCTTCTATATTATTTGAAGGACTAAGTTGAAAAGCAGGCTGATGGATGTTGCGTATGAGGAAACAGTTTGAATTTATAGGCAAATTCTATATATGAAATGTGTCAGTGGGATTAGCCCTTGACAATATAATTTCAAGACTATAAGATTGTTTTTATATGGGCTACCCACTTTCTGAGTCCCTGCTCACTACTGGCAAAAGCCCGGGCTCTGCCCAGGCAACTGCCCCATTCACAGAGAAAACCTCATGGTTCTCTCCCTTTGGGCCCCTTGAGCATTTGTTCTGAGCTACTACTTTAGATCTGCTGCAGTCTGGTCTGCCAGTGGAATTATCCCTCTGTCCAGGCAAAGCAAGCCTAGGTGCTCTGGGTCCATCCGGTTGCCATCAAGTTGACTCTAACTCATGGCGACCCCAGGTGTGTCAGAGTGAAACTGTGCTTCATAGGGTTTTCAATGGCTGACTTCAAAAGTGTATCATCAGGCCTTTCCTCTGAGGGGCATCTGGCTGTACTTGGACCTCCAAACTTTGTGTTAGCAGCTGAGAGTATTAACCAATTCATTACCCAGGGACCTTAGGACTATTGCAGCTGCTCAGCCCCTGGCAGCCACCTGACTGCCCACCACCAGAATGAGCAATATCTTGCCTGGAGTCCGGAGAGGCATGCTCTCTACTCTCTTCTTGCCTAGGTTTCTTCCTCTCCTGACCTTACTGGAGCTAAGAGTGTCTAGATCTAAGCTTGCTTTATTTTATTGTAAATTTTACTCAGAAAAAAAAATCCACCACCATCGAGTTGATTATGACTCATAGCGACCCCATTGATTTTCTAAGGTGGTAAATCTTTATACAAGGAGATTGTATCATCTTTCTTCTGCAGAGCAGCTGGTGGGCTTCAACCACCAAATTTCTGGGTAGCAGTCAAGATGCCTTAGGCACTGTGCTACTAGAGCTCCTTACTCAGAGGAACAAAATTTTCCTCAGAGGAACTTTAAAAAAAAAAATCATGTTCATTGGTAAAAACAGGTGAGTTGAAGAACTGGCAGTACCGGGTAGCTAAGAGATTTCCCCAGTGAACAGAGTGAGGAACAAAATTCAAGTCCTAGTCTGCCTGTCTCCACTCCATCAGACTATGTCTGAGTTCTCATGCATCCAACACTCAGTCTCTTTGAAATACTTCTGTTACGTACTTCTTAATGCCAGCATTGAGCTTTCAGACAATCGGTGTCTGGCTTGATTATAGTTTGAATAGAGTTCTGCTTGAAAGAAAACATAAGAGAAAGAGCCATCTCTAAGCCAATGGGAGCTGGTAGGTCTAAAACTGTTCAGTCTCTTCTCCAATGGGGGAAGCATTCCTCTCTGCCAATAGAGAGTGAGTCTTGTATGCCCTTTGGACCCAGTAAATGTGGCCGGAGGGTTGAGGAGGTGTGAGTCAAAACAAGGACAAGGGAAATGTACATGACATTACAGAGAAGTGAGTAGACTCTGGTGGCTTGGGCTTGGGGCAAACATGAGAAAAATAGTGTGGTTGGATTCTGGAAAGTCTCAAAAGCACAGGGAAGACTGAGGGCTACAGATCCAGCTCTTGGGCATTCAAGAGTTATCAACCACCAGGCCCTGAGTTTGCTATCTTACACACATTCTATTTATTTATTTATTTATTTATTTAAGCCTTCCAATAACCCTTCAATGAGGAAATTGAGGTTCAGAGAGTTGAATTTTCATTTTCCCATGCTCATTGCTGTAGGTAGAGTAAGGATTGTTCTCTAAAGATACCCATGCCCAAATTCCAGAACCTGTGATTATGCTACATTTGGCAAAAGGGAGTCTGTAGATATGATTAAGATGACATCAAAACACATGCTCTTCCTAACTGAACCACTCTACTCCCTCCCTACAGCTTTTACGCTTGACAAAAGCGTCTCACTTTTAAGAAGCTTCAGATCTTTTCATCTGCCCATTGTTGTTGTTACGTGCCATCGAGTCAGACCTGACTCATAGCGACCCCCTTTGGGTTTCTGAGGCAGTATCACTACAGAAGTAGGTTGTCCAATCTTCCTTCCAATCATTTGCCCATTAGTGTAATGGAAAGATGGCTCTGAGAGGGAGAGCCTTCAGAGTAGAAGCAGCTCTCTGTAGAGCTCAGCATTCCAGGGCTGAACTTAAGCAATGAAAATTCTTCCAGGCTCACAGAAGGAGTTGACAATGTTAGAAGTGAAATCTCTAGGCCAAAGCTTTAGCCTATCGTCAGCTCCAAGGCCACAAAAATCAATGAATAAAAAAAAATAGAACTGTACCTCCATAGCATGTTACTGAAGAAATTAATTACACTCTACTTATAATTATATAGCTGGAGCTGTAGGCACTTCTTATGGATATAAATAAATACCTATGTCCAAACAGGAGCTCTGGTAGCGTAGTGCCTAAGGCACTTGACTGCTAAGCAGAAGGCTGGGGGTTCAAACCCAACAGCCACTCCTCGGAAGGAAGGTTGGGCAATCTACTTCCGTGGTGATACCACCTCGGAAACCTAAGGAGGGGTCACTATGAGTCGGGTCAGACTCAATGGCACATAGCAACAACAACAACATGTCCAAGTAGATAATTGTCCCCAAAATAGGATAAAGAAGATAGGTCTTAATAGCAGCATATATGACGAAGAGTGAGGGGTTTTAATATCAAAAAGCCCAATATGAGCCAACAACAGCTGTAAAGAACAAATGTGACTTCAAGCTATATCAACAGAAGCATAGCAGCTAGAAAAAAGAAGGTGAAAGTACTGTTTTTCTCTGTACTGGAGGATGTCCACATCGATGAATCGTGTCCACTCAGACGTTACGCTCCAGATGTGAAAAAACTAGAATCTCCATCTAAGAAGATACTGACCAGCATGGTGAAATGTCTGAAATATATTTCACATGAGAATAGCAGAATGTGTGATAATATTTTAGGTTGATTTCCAGAATTTACAGGCTATCCCTTTTCCTGCTGCCAATTTCCCAAGAGCTACTTTGGCAAAGGAATATCAGGTTTGCTTTCTTTGTGGCCATGAAGGTACAGGGAAACAGACTTCAGCTTGGTATAAGGAAAAATCTTGTAATAGTCTTGTAGTGGCTGGAAATGGAATAGACTATATCCCAGGAAGTGAGATTGTTGTCAAGAAAGGCAATCAAAAAGCTGAAGAGGTTTTGCACTAGGTACCCTCTGATGTCTCTCATAACCCCAATTCAAGGAACACTGACACTCTCTCTTCTCCCATCACTGTTGAAAGACCAGAGAAGATAAACTCTGATAACCCAACAGAGAGGTTCCCCATAAATCCAATTAACACAGCCCAGAAGATACTGCCTGAGCCTCCAACCCTCCAGCTCCTGCATCTCATCCCAGATTCCCACAATGCCCCTAAGAAAGGGTGATGTGACAAGGACTCACCTTTCTTCTCAAAGTCCACCTTCTCTTCCCCTGGCCGGCCCAGGCTGTCCAGGGTGTGGGTCACCTGGCTGCCAAACTCGTCCTCACGGGAGAGGTGGTTGGCCCGCCGGGGCAGGTCCTCATCCTCCTCATAGTCATAGTCATCGAGGATGGGGGTCTCTCGGATGGGCACGCCAATGACAGAATTGTGGGCTTGCAGCCGGGAGGAGCGGAAGCTCTCCCGGGCCTGGGGACCAAGTAGCACTGAGGGGATGTAGTGGATCTCATGAGTGGCTTCTGTGCTTGCACTCTTCTGGGGGATGCGGTGCCGCTTCTGCCAGCGCCGCTGGGCATACAGGGCCACGGTGAACACGAGCAGGAGAAGCAGCAGTGCGATAAGGCCGCCCTGGAGGAGAAGGGAAGCAGAGCAAGGAGTGGGAAGCTGTTCTTGCAGCGAGGCGGCCAGAAGGGCTTTGCCCATACATCACACTGAGTCAGGCGCCAGGGTTCGGCTAGAGCCTCAGAACCGTCAGCCATTGCTTTGAAGCCAGACAGACACAATTCTCAAACCTGGCTTTCCCACCAACAAGCTTTGTGACTTCAGGTTAACTGCTTGACTTCTCTAGGCTTTTCCGTTTACATGTTTAAAGGAGGAATAAGATTCCCTGTCCTTCCTTCTTCACAAAGTTGTCATGAGGAGCAAACGAGATGAGGGGTGGGAGAGAACAATCCAGATTGCTAAATGCTGGGAAGGGCCAGGGCTTGGACTTCACCCAAGTGAGTGTCTGAACTCTGCCTCTGCCTCCCACTATCTGTGTAGCCCCAGGCAACTTGCTCACGCTCTCTTAGTCTTACTTCCTCATCAGTCCTCTGAGGGCTCAAGAGATACCAATCTTTCTTCCATCTTGCTGCAAATGTATGATATTGCTGAGTTTAACTTCTGCACAGGAGTCCCTGGACAGTGCAAACACTTAATACACTTGGCTGCTAACCCAAAGGTTGTAGTTTGAGTCCACCAAGATGTGCCTCAAAAGAAAGGCCTGATGATCTACTTTCAAGAAATCAGCCACTGAAAATTCTACGGAGCACAGTTGTACTCTGACACACTTGGGGTTGCCATGAGTCAGAACTGACTTGACAGCAACTGGGTTTGGCTTAATTTCTACACACTTTATGTTTTGTTCATTATCAGAAACTAGTCTTTTCATTTCTGACTCCAAATAAGGGGCCTGGGACTAGGTGCTTAATAAATATTTGTTAAATGAATGTACAGGTGGTTTCCAGGTTATAAATGAGATCTGTTCCTAAGTCTATCTTTTAAGTTGAATTTGAAGGTAAACTGGAACAGGTACATATGGTTCTTATTTAGCATCAGTTAGTGAAATGCCTGTCTTAGTATATAATAACTATTTCACATTTCTATGCATATCCAACACTTAACAAACACTTCCAAAAACACTAAAACATCTTAAACATAATAATACTGTACATAACAGTAATAATAAAAGTAACTCCATACCATACTGTACTGAAGAAAGAGAGAGGATCTGTGTGTGTGTGTGTGTGTGTGTGTATACACAGTATTGTAAAAACTATTATATATTGTTGTTGTTTTGTTGTTGTTTGCCGTCGAGTCGGCCCCGACCTCATAGCGACCCTCCTTGGGTTTCTGAGGCAGTATCACTACGGAAGTAGGATTGCCCAACCTTCCTTCCGAGGAGTGGCTGGTGGGTTTGAACCGCCAGCCGTCTGGTTAGCAGACAAGTGTCTTAGCCACTATGCTACCAGAGCTCCTATATAATATATATATGTGTGTATATATACATATATATATATATATAATTAAAAAAATAGCTCTTAAAATAGTTTGATAGAAAGAAGAAAGAGAAAAGATCATGGTAAAAAGTTAACACTTACTCACCTTCCATCGCTATCTAGCATCTAGCATGGGACCTCGATTATCACAATAACATTAATAAATGGGTGATGATGCAGGAGAAGATGATGATGGAGAGATGGCTAATGGCTACACTATGATTCCTTGATCCATTGGCTGAAGTAATCGTATGGTGTTTGGAGGTAGAAATACAATCTTTATTTTGGGCTGAATGTCATCTAAAGTGCTTGGATGTGCGGATGCATTGCCAAGCACACAGGGAATCTTGAAAGGAATTTCCTTAGCCTAGCGATAATATTCAACAACAGGGACAAGAAAGTTCAAGGACCAATCTTCAAAGATGGCAATTTAAACCAAGCCTCTGCATTTGACTTCCAAATAATGGGAAAACATGCCTCAACGATATGGTGAAGTGCCTTTGGGTTTAGGGAGTGACACACAAGTAAAGGCTGAAGCTTGAAATCCCCAGATGTGCTACCCCCAAAGCAATAACATCAGCCTATACTTTGATGCCTTATGCCCTGGTGTATTTCTTTTCCCCTCTTTCTTTTGAAATGTAGATCCTTTCAGGCATTTTTTCCCCAAATATGCCAATCTTGTCTACCTTAAATATTTGGTCTAGCAAATAACCTCCCCCCTCAATATTTTTTTCCAACAGTTCAAGAAAATCACTCACAGCACTTAACACTGGCACTCACTGCTTCACCTTGCACTTTAATATTATGTAAATTTGCCCTGGAAGAGAAGAGCAAGATCTGAGCCTTGTTTTTGTTTGTATTTCATGAAAAAACTGAGGTATTTCTACTACCTGTCATCAGCGTTTACCCAAACTCTGTGGCTGACCGCTTTTCCTTCACTATAATTTCATACAAGGCAAGGAAAATTTCTTTAACTACCTGTATAGCATCTATCAAATGTGGCAGATGTAAACCCTGACTACATCAACTTGGGAAAAGAAGGTGACTGCCATTAAGGACACTTGTTTACACCAAGAAGAACATGAATGACTCCAGTGACTCGCTATCTTCCCGAAAAATACAGTGATACCAGAAAACGGTCTTGTTCTGTCTGGTCTGCAAGCTAGAACCTCTCTCATCCATATGAGCATTTATGGTGGTGAGGGTGGTGGGAAGCAGTGGCCAGGCACAGCTGAGAGCCCTGGGGCAGTGACCAGAACTCCACTTTGACTTTAGCTGTGAGCTACTATAGAATTCCCGAGAATTCTCTGGATGTCAGAACTTAAATACAAACACACACACACACACAAAAGTGTATTTACATATGCGTTTGTATATGATCTGTGAACATATATCTAATACTTGTGTGTATTGTTTTATCCCCTCTGAAGCCCTAGAAAAATAAGAATAGATCTTCTTCCTCCTCCACAGGACATATTATAGTGATTGTTTTGTATCTAGAAATCATGTGTGACATTGTATTACAGTTATTTATTTTGCATCAGAAAGAAAGGAAGGAGATAGAGGAAGGGAGGGAGGAAGAGTGAGAAGAAGAGAGATAACAAGGAAGGAGAATAAAGAGATAAAAGGGACAGAAGGAACACTAACATTTGATAAGCACACTAGCAGGCCCTCCTTACCACGTTTACTTAACACTATTTTATTTAATCTTTAAAACTATCCTATGTGGTAGGGATTATAATTTTAAAATTGAGCTAGTTCACAGGCTGTCACTTTGTCTAGGTTGTTTTCCCTTTTGGCATCCTGGTTTTATCATTGGCTCAGTAAGGGCAACATTCATAATGTCACCACACTGGGCCATTGTGAGGAGTAAGATGCTTGTAGAGTACTCACTGCAGTATGGGCAGGTGGTAACTGCTCAAAAACTGTTAGTTATTATTATTGTCAACAACATTCAACAAGTGTACATATTTAGTGTTTAATGAATGAGTAAAGGGTTGAATGAGCAAATGAATGACTTGGTCTTCTGCTTCTCAATGACTATTCTGCAAAACTTGTTCAGTGCCTTCTCAATCTGGACCACTTTATATATGCTCTATCATTTACCTTGACCACTGACCATGGTAGGCCTCATTGTCCCATGGTAAGTGGGAAACAGAGGCACAGAGACAGGAGGTGCTTTACCAAAGTTGTGTAGTTAAGAATCACACTAATTCAGCATAACTCCGTGCTTGGGGTTGGCTAGGGATAGGAGAATCCAAAGCCTAATTGGCTCTTGCTCACGTTCACTCCTTAAATTATCTAAGAAATTCCAGACACAGATTCTCCAGCCTAAGAGAACTTCTGGAAAGGAAGTGGAAGAGAGAGTCCTTCCTGCTTTGGTGGGGGCTGAGCCTGAAGGTCTCTTTACCTCAAAGATCCAATGATTGACTTATGTCATGAGTCTACTTCAGGGGCTCCTTGTCCTCACTCCCACCCTGCCCTGACCTAAGCTTTATTACAGATAAGAGTGTCACTGTTAGAATTTAGAAAAATGAGAATTGTAATATCCAAGGGTTCATTGTGCCCCTGACCTACTGAGACAGATGTCCCTGAGCCAGGGTCCTAGACAGCTCTCATTTGGTCTTGCCCAAGGCAAACTAATCATCCAGGCCATGTTACAACACCCCTCTCACTAGTCCTACCTTCCCAGACCCTGAAAAAGTAGTGGAGTACAGGGGAGTGGAAACATGTTCAGGGCACGCAGGAAAAAGGTTCCGGGTTCTTTACTCAAACTATGTTACCTCGGGCTGCCAGGTCCTCTTTGGATACTCAGTTCATTTATCAGTAAATCAGACTTAGGAATACTTGGAATCACACAGCACACAAATATGGACACAGGCTAGGAAGTCGGAATGACTTGGTTTGAATCTTATAATACCATATAGAATCTGGATGATTTTAGACAGAGGAATTAATCTCTGAATCATATTTTCTCATCTATAATGGGGTCAAAGCCTCTTTATAGAGGGGGATAGGAAGTGATTAATGGCTATGGAGTGCTTAGCTCAGTGTCTGGCACATGATACAACCATGCCACAGGAAAATTCTCATTCATGGAACTCATAGGATTGCTGTGAATTCAAATCTGGCAATAGATGTGAGATTCCTCACTAACTGAAGGATGCTGTACACAAGTAAAGGGGCTCAAGAGAATCATTTGATCATCTCTGTCCTGGTGGGAGGAGTCCATGGATGGTACAATCAGTTAAAAACTCAGAAGGAGCTCAGAATGAAGGCTTGCCAAGTTGCTTCTGGTAAGTCACAGCCTTAAAAACCTTAAGGAGCAGTTCTACTCTGCACACATGGGGCCACCAAGAGTTGGAATTGACCTGAGGGCAAGTGGTTTGATTTGGTTTTGGTCTGAGTGGGCAAGCAGAGATGTCCCTAACTCAGAATCAGGAAGAAACTACGGTACATTCACCGTGTCGGCCTAGGCTGTTGGACCAATCCATGCCTGCAAGTTTATACTGCCACTCTTTTGTAGGCGTCTTCCACCAAAGGCAAGTAAACAAAGAAGTAGGAGCAATCTGGAAGGAAGCAGAGCCAGAG